GATACCACATCCTTAAAAATCTCGAATCCATTTCTTGTCTCTATTTGTCTTAACCATTGCCTTAGTACAAGTTTAGATTTCTTTTCATGTGGATAACTGTAATATCCTTCTAACTTGTGTCTATTTTTAAAATGCATTCTCTTCAATCTATTCCCATATGCCAAAGTAATCTTCCTAAAACAAATCTGATCATCTCATTCTTTTCCTGAAATCCTTTTGTGGCCCCCTTTGGTCTCAGAATAAAAATAAAATTCATCCCTTTAAATAAAAGTCTGACCTTGATATGACCTTTGACTATTTTTATGATTCAACTACTGTATTTCCTGTTAGGTGAATTTTGTTCCAGACAAATATAGAATTCTCCAAAGTGGTGTTTTACGCTCTTTGCTTCTTTTCTATGTTTATTCCTATTAATAGTTTATTTTGTTTTTTGTTTTTTTTTTTTGAGTCTCGCCCTGTTGCCCAGTCTGGAGTGCAGTGGTGTGATCTCGGCTCACTGCAACCTCTGCCTCCCGGGTTCAAGCAGTTCTCATGCCTCAGCCTCCAGAGTTGCTGGGATTACAGGCATGTGCCACCACACCCGGCTAATTTTTGTATTTTTGGTAGAGAGGGAGTTTTGCCATATTGGCTAGGCTGATCCTGAACTCCTGACCTCAAGTGATCCACCCGCCTTGGCCCCCCAAAGTGTTGGAATAACAGGCGTGAGCCACCGTGCCCAGTCCTCGTATTAACATTTTAAAACTCAATTAATTTTTGAGTGATATATTATAGGCAGGTAATATTTTTGAGATTTTCAGTATGGGCTTGTGATCCAACTTGGAGCCAGCAGAGGCATTATCTGGGACTTTTCTCCTGAAGGAGCAGGAAAGGCCATATTTTAAAGATGTGAACCTGGGATTCCTACCACTTGGAGTAGGAACTCACAGAGTAGGGTACTCATGACAGAAAGAATGACATCCATGTCTAGAGGGAAGCAGAGATAAGGACTAGTGCAAGGGAGTATGAGAGTAAGAAACCAAGTCTTGGTGACTTTATTTGGGTCCTAGATCTATTGTGCTTCATGTGAGACCTATTCTGGTCCTTTCTAGCTATTTGCTGATTAAATCCATTCCTCCACTTTTCACTCCAGCTAGAATGATTTAGCTTTTATCACTTGAGATCAAAAAAGTCCGTGGAAATTCAATAGAATCAAAGAATTAACATTCTTTATAATTGTAGTTTTTAACATGTTGGTTCTAGCTAGTATAATTTTGACAGATGGTTTTCATGGGAAACCTAGAGGCTTGTGTATATGTATGTGTTAACTTTTAAGTCTACATAAAGAGGGCTGTACTAAAGAGTAGCTCAGACTTTGCCTGAATTAGCCCTGGAAGTATAAAGAGGGAAAATGTGTCTTTTTAGAAAGCTTATTTGTAATTTTATATCATTTAGCCTAATGGTTCTCAACTCTGGCTGTACATTATATGCATCTAATAATTTTTTTTTTTTTTTTGAGAGGGATGTCCCAATATGTTGCCCAGGCTGATCTATCAACTCTTGGGCTCAAGGGATCCTCCTGTTTCAGCCTCCTGAGTAGCTGGTATTTTAAGTGTGCACCACTGTCCCGGCAATGCCTGTGACTCTCCCAGACAAAGTAAATAGAATGTCTAGGGATGGGAGACAAGCAATGGTTTTTTGTTGTTGTTGTTTTTTTTTTAAGCTTCTCAGGTTTCTACTTTCAACAAGGGTTGAGAACCACTGATCTAACATAACATTTTTCCTCTTTCCTTTGAGGAGTTCAGGTTGCTCACACATGGCATTTGTTGGCCTCCTTTGCTCAATGTAATGTTCCCCATAGTGAGCATAACATTAGAAACTCAGTTGCTGGCTTTCATGTTGTTTTCTAGGTTGACGTTACTTTCTGCAAAACTGGCCAGGAACATATGATGGGGCACGCCAACCTTTATTTCTTAACGTAATAATGTGGCTATAAATGCAAATCTCTATAAACTAAGTTACCCTAAATTGTCTTGCTTAGATTTGTATTTTCTGAGATTTATCTTGGTAACAGCTTTCTTTAAAAAAGTGACACTAGAAGTAAGGAGAAGATAACTTTCAGGAATAAAACTGATGCAAAAGAAAACCATTAGAATGATACTAAAATAAACTCAACTTATGTAATTATGTGTTTAATCTGTGGACAAAAATGTTCCTTAGATTCAGATGTACATTTTAGTCTATTTTCCCTAAGAGTTCACCAACATTTCCATATTAAAAGCAGTTTCTGTCCAAGGTTAAAAGTATATTCATTTCAGTTTTTGATGATGTATCTGATTAAAGACAGATATGTATATGTGTGTGTATGTGTGTGTGTGTGTATATATATATATATATTTTTTTTTTTTTTTTCTTTTGAAACGGAGTCTCACTGTCACCCAGGCTCTAGTGCAGTGGCACTGTCTAGGCTCACTGCAACATTCTGCCACCAAGGCTCAAGTGATTCTCGTGCCTCAGCCTCCCTAGTGGCTGGGATTACAGGCACCCAGCACCACACCCAGCTAATTTTTTTATTTTTAGTAGAGATGGGGTTTCACCATGTTGGCCATGGTCTTGAACTCTTGCCTCAAGTGATATACTGCCTTGGCCCCCTAAAGGGCTGGGATTACAGACGTGAGCCACTGCACCCTGCCAAAGGCAGATACATTTTTCTTAATTCCCAGTTTATGACAGCTACCAGTTGCCTTTAGGTATTATATATACACAGACACATACACATACATATATTTGTTTACTCTAATTGCAATAGTGTTTAAATCCACAGAAAATGATGGCTAGAAAGAAAACAATAGAGAAATGTAGAAATTAATTAAATTTACTTAATTAATCATACAAGCATTTAACAGCATGCTGGCAGGGTGCAATGGCTCATGCCCGTAATCCCAGCACTTTGGGAGGCCCATGTGGGAAGATTGCTTGAGGCCAGAAGGTCAAAATTAGCCTGGGCAACATAGGAAGAGCCCCCTCTCTACAAAAAAATTTAAAAATTAGCCAGGTGTTGTGGTGTGTGCCTATAGTCCCAGCAACTCAGGAGGTTGGGCAGGAGGATCACTCAAGCCTAGGAGCTCGAGGCTGCAGTGAGCTATGATCACGCCACTGCACTCCAGCCTGGGCAACAGCGTGGGACTTGGTCACAAACAAACATCCAGCACGCCTTCTTTGTGCCCCACATGGCCTTCAGGCTGAGAGGAATACAATGCTGATCATCTGGAATTTATAATCTAATTGGAATGAGAAGATATAACAGAAAAATTAAATAAACTTACAGGAAGTAGGTGATTGAATGTCAGTCTGAATGGTAATGACAATAAGTACAGTATCTCAGATAAGAGATGTGTACAAAATAAGCTTCCTAAAAGATGTGAAATGAGAAAGACTTTTTGGATTTTCTCTGTAGGCTTCAATTCCCTGTGGTGGGTTTTTAGTTTCATATTTTTGACAAGATCCAAATCAGAAGCAAGTTCCCTTGTTAGTCAACTTTTTGTTTTCACAATCTACCTTTTTTAGAACATTGCTTAGAAAGTTATATATTGAGGGGTGAGCTGACATTATTTCACTAGATGTCCAAAATTTAAAATATGTAGGTTATAGTTTTAAAAATTTGGATTGAATTTTGTTTATCCCTATTTCTTCTGTTACAGTAGAAGGTTGTGCGAGCTCATAGAGAAATCTTGGCTGTTGGTCTAGAAGGTTGTTAGTGAGTGACAGGGCTGAGATCCACAAAGCCTTTGGGGAATGGCTAATTATTTTAACCCGGGGGCTCTCATGAGCTTATTGACAAGTAGTCAGACACTCTGGCCTTCCCTAGGCATTTCCAGTTGCCCTTTCTAGTTTATCTTACCTCTGCTCGGGAGTGGTAGCAACTAGAGGTGTCTCAATCATTCTGAATAATTAATGATTGACTTTTCCCACCCATTACAGTGCCTATCCCACACAGATGACAGTCACATGTGACAATTCTAGAGTGGAAGAGAAAGAAATGAAATGTGGTGAACAGTTGCACCTATCTAATATGCTAGGTTTTTTGTGCTTGTAAGGGTGTGTCTAAATGGAAACATTATTTGCCACATGTGTCTTGGTGGGCAAAAGGTACAAAACAATTGCTCTAGCATAAAGATAGAGGTATTTCTCTCTCCATATACTTACTGGGAAAGAAAGTTCCCCTCCATTTTTTTTGTCTGGGTTTAAATCTACTTTTTGGTGGCTGGTCAAAATTGCTTTCCTTTCAGCCACTTGAATGCTGGTTCAATTAGGCCCTTTCTCCTCAGGGCACCTAACTCTTGTAAAAAATCACCTAAGCTGCCCTTGATGTTTAACGATGCCATCCACTTTTAATGACTTCTTGCTGTTTTTTTTTTTTTTTTCTCCTGAAATTCTCTGACTTTCTTTACATAGTTGCCTCTTTGCTTTCGTTCACGGTGGCTTTTTATTTTGATTGCTCCTCTGAGCATCAACTTCTGGTCCACTGTCTCAAATAAATTCTAGTATATCTACCAACTAATTACATTTCAATCCCTACAATGTTAGGTACCTTGGGCTTTTTCAAATTACTTTTGATTTGGGGGAAAGAATTGTAAAAAATGTTTCCACTGCAATTATTTAATGATTCAACCTTCATAGAAACTTAAACTTCAGAGGAGCAAATAGCCTCAACAGAGGACTAATTAAGCTTCATGTTACCCTGGCAAAGTAGGGAGAATAAGTACGCAGTGAGGCTGCAATCATTTTCTCTGAAGTTCGATTAAAAGCCAAGTTTTAAAATGTTAGACCAGTGCTAATCTGCATGAGTGCTTCGGGTTTCATTTGAGAAAGAATTGTGGTTGCAAACATTAACACTAAAATATGTGAATCTATTTCCATAATCAGGGTCCTATGGGATGGAGCCTAGATTTAATATGGCTTTGGCGCTTACATGTTTTCCAGTACATTGATTAATACTGTCCTCTCATGTGGAACCCAATCAGGGGCAACCTGCCAGAGGACTATTTTCTATAAATTTAAGCTGAACTAATATCTGTGGAAATCTTAAGACTAAAGAAGAGTTGATGAATATACTACAATTAAAGTTGCCTTGTGAATTGAAGAATGAAGCAAAGGATAATGAACATATTGAAATGATTCCACATGTTTTATGCATGACACATTTGTAATTAAAACAGATCCTGAAGGTAAGTTTGTATATACTAACATAATCATTGCAAAAAAGCAGAGTGTGTTATTAAATATCTCCAGGGCATATTTCCCAAATGCAGAATGTGAAAATTTGGTGCATTTCACTTCCTCAACAGTTGCTTATTAGAAACTAAAGATTGGGTGCCCTGGCAAAACATACTTGTTAGGAAATTTGTCTATATGAATCAAATATATGCATATTATATAATCATCTATTGGTTCATTCCCAATATACAACTTTCTAAACAATGTTTTAGAATAACTTTAATTTCAATAACTCAATTAAATATTAGCATTTGTCAGCCAGGTGTGGTGGCTCATGCCTGTAATCCCAGCACTTTGGGAGGTGGAGGCTGGCGGATCACCTGAGGTCAGGAGTTTTGAGACCAGCCTGGCCAACATGGTGAAACCTGGTCTCTATTATGTGAAAAAAAAAAAAAAGAAATTAACATTTGCCAAAATCGCTCAGTCTTACCAGAATCCTTCGAAATCTTTAACAACTCAGTGGTTATTATCCGTAGCAGCTCAATGCTGCATGACTATTATAGCCTGAGCCACCTCAGGATTTAATAATGATAACAAATGCTAATAATGATTTACATTTGTGAAATATATCAATCCCTTTGCAGTTTTTAAAATATTGTTACAACTTGTTTGATCATTTGATCTTTAAAATGTAGGAATAAATATTCTCTTACAAATGAGGGATATGGAGGCAAACTACATGTTCCATAGACTCTCATTTTCAGATTATAAGTAAGAATTAGTTCCAATAATCTTTTGAATGAGTTATTAAAGTTGACTAAAATTTGGTTTCATAAATGAAAATTAGCAGGTAACTAGGGATTCTAATTCAGTATCTTTTGGCTAAAGCATCTGGCTATCATGTAGTTTTGACAAGTTTGCAAAACTCTTATTGCCCTTGTTCACATTTAGACAAATGCAATTCCTACAATATCAAAGAGAAATTCTTATCCTTAAATCATTCCGGTTTTTTGAGTATGGTATTATTTTTAGTTGCTGCTCTTTTGCTTTGTAGTTTTAAGTTAGTGTTGGGAGTTGTTTGGTTACAGTGTAGAGCGTTGCATATTTGCAACAACTGTATTCTTGGCCCTACTTTTCATCGAAAGTAGATTTTTAGCTGTGTGTGGCAACTTCTAAACCACTAAGTTGTGTGTATGCACAGGTATAAACCAGAATGTTTCTGTATTGAGTGAAGCAGATTCTTACCACAGCGAGAATGGGTGGGATGAGAAGGTCTTGGGGTCTTTGACTTTCCTTAAGTGGACTGTGTTAAAAAGTGAGAACTACTTGTCTTCAGGAGTCCTGAGTTGGAGAATTACAAGTACCTGCTTGCTTGGCATGTGGTTACAGAGGCTCTACATAGACACCTCCAATTTTCATAAAGACCATGTTGATGTCATGTGTTTGTAAGAAGGAGGGGTAGACCTGCTTGCATTGAATCCAGGCTTTTGCTACACGACTATGAAGAAATAGAATCACAATTGCATGGGCCAGAGCCACCGTTAAACTTTATATATACAATGTGTAAAAGTATTATTCTATTTTTTTCCCTGAAGCCATGATTTCTTACATATGCCTAACTAAAACTCTAAAATTAGAGGGAAACGGACAGATTTGCCAGTCTAACTTTCTTATTTTTTGAAGGGAAAAAATGAGCTACAGAGAAATGCAGTGATTCAAGATCACAGAGGCTGAGATAGAATCAGTGATCAGAGTTCAAGTGTCCTTTTATTTTCAATTTTTAAATTTATTTTTTGCATATGAAATATAGTCACGATTCAAAATTACAATAAGGCTTATAAATTTCCCTTCCATCCCATTCATCAGCCAAGCAGTCTTCTCTCTTTGTAAGGAAACAATGCTATGAGTTTTGTAAACATGCTTCCAGAACTACTTTATGTATATGCCAACAAACATGTAAGCAGACAGTCCCCCCTCTCTTTTCATAAAAATGGTAGCATACTCTTCACATGGTTTTATACTTTGTGTTTTTTTAACTTAACATTTGAAATTATTTTATATTGTTACAAAAAAAGCATCCTCATTAATTTTAATGGCTGTAGGATCTTTCTTTCCCCTCCCTCCCTCCCTTCCTTCCCTCCCTCCCTCCCTTCCTTCCTTCCTTCCTTCCTTCCTTCCTTCCTTCCTTCCTTCCTTCCTTCCTTCCTTCCTCCCTTCCTCCCTTCCTCCCTTCCTCCCTTCCTTCCTTCTTTCCTTCCTCTTTCTTTTCTTTTTTCTTTTCTTTTCTTTTTTTCTTTTTGACTTTTGGTGCCTAGGCTGGAGTGCAATGGCACGATCTTGGCTCACTTTAGCCTCCTCCACCTGGGTTCAAGCGATTCTCCTGCCTCAGCCTCCCGAGTAGCTGGGATTACAGGTACCTGCCGCCATGCCCAGCTAATTCTTTGTATTTTTTTAGTAGAGACGGGGTTTTGCCATGTTGGCCAAGCTGGTCTCGAACTCCTGCCCGGCTTGGCCTCCCAAAGTGCTGGGACTACAGGCATGAGCTCCAGCACCCTGCCGGCATAGGATATTTCATTGAGTGGATATATCATAATTTATTTAGCCAGTCACCTGTTGACAGGCTTATAGGTTGTTTCTAGTCTTTTGCTATAACAAGTAACGCTGCAGTGCATATCTTGTACATGTGTTGTTTTGTACTTGTTTGAATATATCTATGTAATTTCTAGAAAAGGAATTTTCTGTGTTTATGAGTAGATTATCTGATATATATTGCAAAACTGTACTTCAGAAAGGTTGAATCAACTTATGTTCTTGCCATAAGCAATTATACTGCTTATTTTCCCATATTCTTACCAACAGAGTGTTATTAAATGTTACCTATCAACATTTTTCAGAAATTGAAAAATGATGACTGAGTGTTGTTTTAAGTTGCACTTTTTTTTTGAGACTGAGTTTTGCTCTTGTTGCCCAGGCTGGAGTGCAGTGGCACAGTATCAGCTCACTGCAACCTCTGCCTCCTGGGTTCAAGCAATTCTCCTGCTTCAGCCTCCCAAGTAGCTGGGACTATAGGCCCCGCCACCACGCCTGGCTAATTTTGTAGGGGTTTCACTATGTTGGCCAGGCTGGTCTGGAACTCCTGATCTCAGGTGATCCACTTGCCTTGGCCTCCCAAAGTGCTGGGATTACAGGTGTGAGCCATCACGCCTGGCCTTAAATTGCACTTCTCTTATGTTGAGAAATTTTGAACATCGTTTCACATGCTCCAGAGCCATTTTGTCTTTCCTTTTCTGTGAACTGTATGTCAGTATGTTTGGCCATTTTTCTACTAGTTTGTTGGTCTTTTCTTTATCAGTGTTTGGGAAATTCTTCATGAATGAACTTAACATTTTTTTTTTTTCCAGCTATTCCCACTAAGTGCTCGGCATTGGGCTAGGACATGCTGCTCACTATTGCGAGTGATTGTAGCAACTCAGTTTTGAATATTTACATATGTTGAGGTGAAGAATCTTCCTTGACTACATCTGAGGAGTTATGGAATCATCAGAAGGAAGTCTTTCTAACAACACACTACAGTAAGATGCGTTTCTGATCCAAGCTGCCGTGGATCCATGTCAGGAGAAGCCTTCAGTTGTGTTTTAATAAATAGAAACCCAGAAGGGCTAAGAAATCTGCAGCAACCTGGAAAAATCAACTCCTTTCCCCCTGGAAACTGCTAGTTTCTTAAACACCCACATTTGCATTTAGTTTTGGGAATTTATATTGTTTCGGTAAAAGTGAGCATATTTGGTTTCGGCTTTGTTCTGTGTTATATCCTTACCATCTAACTCAAAGAGGGACCTTCCGCTTATTAATACTAGGCAGTCTTCATTTATTAGGCATGTGAGGTAGGCATTCCTCTCCCCACGGGACTAGGCTTAAAGAGGTTAAATAAAATAAAAATTGAGGCTGGGCGCGGTGGCTCAAGCCTGTAATCCCAGCACTTTGGGAGGCCGAGACGGGTGGATCACGAGGTCAGGAGATCGAGACCATCCTGGCTAACACGGTGAAACCCCGTCTCTACTAAAAAATACAAAAAACTAGCCGGGCGTGGTGGCGGGCGCCTGTAGTCCCAGCTACACGGGAGGCTGAGGCAGGAGAATGGCGTGAACCTGGGAGGCCGAGCTTGCAGTGAGCTGAGATCTGGCCACTGCACTCCAGCCCGGGCGACAGAGACTCCGTCTCAAAATAAATAAATAAATAAAATAAAATAAAAATTGAAAAGGCATCCTTTTGTAGTGTATAGATCTGAGTGGTTTAGGCTTTGCAAAAATACTTCCTTATTTGAAAATAATCTAGAGAGTCCTAATATTAGCTGTTTGCCTCTTCAAGTCCTCTGCGGTCATGGATTTCCACAGTAAACTGACAGAATGAGAGCAGCAGGGAGAGTTTCTGATGAGACCACAGAAACGGAAAATAATAAAAGCATATACGAGGAAGAAATTAAATTTGGTATTACAGTGTTATCTGTAATATACAACATTGAGACAAAAGATCAATTTTCATTATTGTCCAAGAGGTATTGATAAAAAAATTATTCAAACTATTATCTACAAATACCACAGCATATGAGTGAAGAAGAAGGGGAAAATGCCCAGGAGTAAATAAATTTGGCACTGAATAAATAACTCAAAAACTTTATTTATTTACATTTTTTAAAGACAGGTCTTGCTCTGTCATCCAGGCTGGAGTGCAGTGGCACAGTCGTGGCTCCCTGCAACCTCGACCTCCTAGCCTCAACCAGTCCTCCCACCTCAGCCTCTTGAGTAGCTGAGACTATTGGCACATGGCACCATGCCTGGGTAATTTTTGTACTTTTTGTAGAGACTGGGTTTTGCCATGTTTCCCAGGATGGACTAATTCTAAAATCTGATGACTTATGTTCCTGAAGTAGTATATCTGGCTCTAGTTAATAGGGCATATTAACTGTAGTTAATACTGTATAGGTGACCAGGCACGGTGGCTCACGCCTGTAATCCCAGCACTTTGGGAGGCCGAGGCGGGCAGATTATGAGATCAGGAGATCGAGACAATCCTGGCCAACAGGGTGAAACCCTGTCTCTACTAAAAATACAAAAATTAGCTGAGTGTGGAAGCGCGTGCCTGTAATCCCAGCTACTCAGGAGGCTGAGGCAGGAGAATCACTTGAACCCAGGAGGCAGAAGTTGCAGTGAGCTGAGATCATGCCACTGCACTCCAGCCTGGCCACAGTGGGAGACTCTGGCTCAAAACAACAACAAAATAGTCTATATAGGCAAAAGCACAGAACCTATCTAAATAACATCAGTTAACCAATTATGATTATGTTGTTAGAGAGGGAAGGAAAGAGTTGCTCTTACTGACAAATGGCTGAAGATCCCTGAGGGACTGCATCAATGGCAGCAATGCATCAATGCACAAATGGTATCTATGCATCAAGGCATCAATAGTATCCATGCACCAATGGCATCAATGCATCAGTGCAGCTGTGGCATCAGTGCATCCATGCATCAAAGGTGCAACCACCCCATCAGTAAAACAGCCACAGCATGAGAGGAAGTTTTAAGTTAATTTATGTAAAGTAAATTTTATTCACATAGAAGTCTACAAAGCATTTTAAATCTTTGGATAATATGGCTATAGGAAACCTATTGCAGGACCTCAAAGAATGTACCTTGTTTCTTACTTCTAGGCTTTGGAACGTACAGTTTCCCTGCCATAAATCTTCACCATCTCTGCCATTCTCCTTCTGTTGTGTCAACCCTTGCTCCTCATTTTACAGGTAATTGCCCCTTCAATTTTACAAGATTGTTAATTTTACAAGATTAATTGTCCCTTCCTTCTGGAAGCTTCCATGACCTCTCAAGAATGGGTTAAGGGCTTCCTTAAGCACTACCAGAACAGCTCAGACTTCCCCATCATGACACTCACTGCTCTGCATTGTATTCTAACTGTCTGCTTGCTTGTCTCTGCCTTACTGGACTATAAATTCCCAGGGCTAGACTCCATTTCTCTTTTGTGTATTATTTTTTCTCCAGGTACAAACTAGGCTTCAAGAAATATTTGTTGAATAAAAAAAGTGCGAATACACTTATTTAAGTTATAGTTACTCTAAATACTCTGATACAATTTTGGTGAAAAAAGAAACCATGGCTTAAGTTATAGATATAATAGTTTTTTAAAAGTTTATATCAATATATTTGTAATGAGGATGTTATGCACTCTAATCTCCTGCAATGAATTATTTGCTAATGTATTAGCAGGTACATTGTAAAAAATCAAACTAATATCAATACTGTTTGTAAAATTTATAGGTATGATTTACTAATGTATTGATAGTCTATTGTAGTCAGTGGTTTCTAGAGTATACTCTTTTGCTGTGCTGGCTATTTACAGTGTATTATGTTTTTGTAATAAAATATCAAAATATTATCTTCCAGAATTGATGATGAAAATTGAGATATATTTTGGTATTTGTGGTATTAATAGTATAATACCCAATAGTATAGAAAAATCCTATAATCTTATAGAGAATCAGTCTGGATCTTGTTGGGTTATTGAACTTTTAATGAAATCTGCCAAATGGTGAGCATCTGTTAGGTGGCAGAGCCCTCGTTGTTGGGTGAGTCAAGCTGGTCAGGCAAGGTCACTGTACTGTTCGATACAGTTTTCCTGTTCTAATATGGTTCCTTAGAGAGGTTACTGAGTAACTGTGCTGATGAATAAAAGAGACAAGAGAAAGGATAATATTTTGAGAGAGTAAAGTACAATATGTAACATAACATATAAAGCAAGTGAAATATGTACATTTTTTATAGTTATCAGAATGTGATTTTTAGCTAGCCAAGAATCGAATTGTCATTTTTTTCTTTTAAAGTGGTATTTTGGGACCACTTAATAATTTTATTTTATTTTATTATTTTTTTTGGAGACAGAGTCTTGCTCTGTTGTCCAGGCTGGAGTACAGTGGCACAATCTCGGCTCAGTGCAGCCTCCACCTCCTGGGTTCAAGCGATTCTCCTGCCTCAGCCTCTGGAGTAGCTGGGACTACAGGTGCGTGCCACCACGCCTGGCTATTTTTTTGTATTTTTTTTTTTAATATGGGGTTTCACTATGTTGGCCAGGATTGTTTCGATTTCCTGACCTCGTGATCTGCCTACCTCAGCCTCCCAAAGTGTGGGGATTACAGGCATGAGCCACCACACCCGGCCTTGAGACCACTTTAAAAGTGGTCTTTACTTTACTTCCTTTAAATTAGTTTATTGTATTTTCGGTAGAATTTTCCTCTCCTTCCCCATTCAGAGCCTGAATCATGATCATGTTTTGTCTTCCAGTGAGACGGTTACAGGATCAAGGTCAAATGAATGTCAGAAAGAAATAAGACTTCAATAAATGGAATTTGTAGAATCTCATAGCAAGGGGTGATCAGATAGGGTTTAAAAAATATGAGTATATGATGCTGAGGCAGAGAAGGGTGGGTGGGTGAGGAGAAGGGTGAACCGACATGAAAAAGCAAAATGTATACAAACTTCTCTTTTCTCCTCCTCCTCCTCCTCCTCCTCCTTCCCCTTCCCCTTCTCCTTCCTTCCTTCCTTCCTTCCTTCCTTCCTTCCTTCCTTCCTTCCTTCCTTCCTTCCTTCCTTCCTCCTCCTCCTCCTCTTCTTCTTCATTAGATTTAATCCTCACATCTCTTTTATTGATCACTGTTTATTGCACCTCAGATAGAAAAAGGGAGGACTTTGATAAAACAGATCTATGCAAAGTGTTTTATCAAAAGTATGCCTTTGTCTAAGCCTGAGAGCAGAGTCTGAGACAAGAACTTGTGGGCAGGTAAGGGAAAGAGAGGGAGCTGATTCAAGGTTCTTCATCAGGATGTAGAATGCGTCTCAGCATTGTCCACCTGAGTGTCACAGGAGGGTGGTATTTATCTTGTGGCCCCCATCCTCTATTGCTCCAGTGTTGCCTCATGGATTGTAATTCGTCCAGGCTTCCAGATTGCACATATATGAATGCCATGGTGTCAGAGAAGCACTGGGGCAGAAAATGAGAGATAACTGGTACATCAGAGGGGAGGAGCTGTCAACAGCACCTGTGCCAAGGGCATGTTACCTGTGCCAAGGTAATGTAACCTGTACAACCGCACAAGGTCTGGGTTTGGTTTAATGCACTCATGTTGTTGGCTTGATATTCTTAATAATTTTTGGAACAAGTGGCTTTGCATTTTTATTTTTCACTGGTCCTTCCAAATTATTTGGCTGTCTGGCTGTCAGATGATATTGCATGAAGTTGGTTATTACACAGTAGTTGGAGTAAAATAGTTGTTCCACGAGAATGTGGTAAGGCACAGTGGGTGTTTGATATACTGATATAACGTTCATAACATCCCTATGAGTTAGGTGCTGTTACCCCCATTTTAAAGATGAAGAAATGGGTCTGGGCATAGTGGCTCACGCCTGTAATCCCAGCACTTTGGGAGGCTGAGGTGGGTGGATTACTTGAGGCCAGCAGTTTGAGACCAGGCTGAGCAACATGATGAAACCCCGTCTCTACAAAAAATAGAAAAATTAGCCACGTGTGGTGATGCACGCCTGTAATCCTAGCTACTCAAGAGGCTGAGGCAGGAGAATCACTTGAACCCGGGAGATGGAGGTTGCAGTGAGTGGAGACTGTGCTGCTACACTCCAGCTGGGTGACAGAGCGAGACTCCGTCTCAAGAAAAAAAAAAAGATGAAGAAATAAGGCTGGGTACAGTGGCTCACACCTATAATCCCAGCATTTTGGGAGGGCGAGGTAGGTGGATCACTTGAGGACAGGAGTTCAAGACCAGCCTGGCCAACATGATGAGACCCGTCTCTACTAAAAATACAAAAATCAGCTGGATGTAGTGGGCATCTGTAGTCCCAGCTACTGTGGAAGCTGAGGCATGAGAATTGCTTGAGCCCAGGAGGTGGAGGTTGTGGTGAGTGGAGATCATGCCACTACACTCCAGCCTGGGCTACAGAGTGGAGGAAGAATATCTTGAGGCCAGGAGGTTGAGACCAGCCTGGGCAACATAGTGAAACTTCACTTGTACACAAATTTAAAAAAATTTGCTGGGCATGGTGGTGTACACCTATAGACCCAGCTACTCTGGAGGCTGAGGTGAGAGGATCATTTTAAGCCCAGGAGTTCAAGGCTGCAGTGAGCTATGATGGTACCACTGCAGTCCAGCCTGGGTGACAGAGCGAGACTCTGTGGCTAAAAAATCAAAAATGAAAAAAGATTAAGAAACAGATTCAGGTAAGGTAATTAATGTGATGGTTAATTTACAAGGCTGGTGGTAAATGATGAAGCTAGGATTCAAACTAGGGTCTGTGAATGGAAACTCGTGATTCTTTCTGTCACACATGCTTGAGAGTGAGGATGAGCCCTTTTTTTTTCTGCCTTGTATCTTCTGTACAGACTAAAGTTTAGAGGTATGTTCCCCATCAGCCGTAAGTGATGCTCTCGCCACATTCTAACACACTGGACGCTGTGTGGGCACCTGGGTAGACCTGGGTTTGGCAACATCACCAAATTTTCTTCTTCCTTCTTGGATAAGTGAAGAGAGAAGCCATAGAAGTTAGCCAGAGATGCCACAGGGAAGAAGGCATCTGGGCACATTTTAATTTATTTTTATTTTTTAGAGATAGTGTCTCACTGCATTGCCCAGGCTGGTCTCAAACTCCTGCGCTCTAGCAATCCTCCCACCTTGGCATCCCAAAGTGCTGGAGTACAGGCAGGGTACATCTTAAAATTAAAGGGGCCAGGCATGGTGGCTCACGCCTGTAATCCTGGCATTTTGGGAGGCTGAGGCAGGCAGATCACTTCAGGTCAGGAGTTAGAGACCAGCCTGGCCAACATGGTGAAACCCGTGTCTACTAAAAAAAAATACCAAAATTAGCCGGGCGTCGTGGTGTGAGCCTACAATCCCAGCTACTCAGGAGGCTGAGGCAGGAGAATCGCTTGAACCCAAGAGGTGGAGGTTGCACTGAACCTAGGTCGCGCCACTGCACTCCAGCCTGGGCAACAAGAGTGAAACTCTGTCTCAAAAACAAAAACAAAAACAAAAACAAAAAACAATGTTATCTGGGTGAGACTACATATACCTCCTATCTAATGAATGGGGAGCAATTAAGTGCAGCAAGAGTAGAACGTGGTGGAGCCGATTTGTTGGCTGAGATTCGGGTGATCAGCTGATTCCAAACCCAGCGTGGTGAGAGCTGCATGTTCCCACCCAGCCTCTCTCCTAGGCACTATGACCTGCACCCCGTCCCCTCCCTGCTGGAGCCACACAGTGGCTGGAGTGTCGCAATCATGTGAAAGTTGTTCCTGCCCAGCACACACCATTGAAAACCTGAAGCAGACTTTTTTCTTTTCATTTCTTTTTTAAAAAGTTTCCCTCTGAAAAACTTTACAAGGCATCTGTGTGTGGCCCACTTCACTGGATATGAAAGTAATAAGAAGGTAATGCTTGATTGGACCGTAGGCCTGGCTTGCCTGGGACAGCCCTGGTTTATACGTGATATTATTATTAATAGTGTCGCCTTTTACTCTTAAAGGGCGCAGGTTTGGGTCATAAATTAAATGGTTGCTCTAGTTATATTACATCTTCAGACAGGAAGTAACTTATCTAATTGAATATTTATTTGGCTTTCCTGTTTTCGAAAAGCTTTATGGTTGTCAGAGCAGGCTCCACACTACCTGTGGCACCATTACTACGCTAGCAAGTATGCTCTTCTCAGCCCCGCGGAGCAGGTGACTTAAGATGGGCCAACCACACTACCTGGCCTCAGTGACTGGTCTGAGGGAGTGGACATGTGGCCTAAGCCAGGATCCCATTATCATCATCTGGGATTGTCTAACTGAATCCAGGATAGAAGATAATCTTTCCTCTTGTGAGCTCAGATGTTATAAGGATCCAAGCCCAGTGTTGCCTGAGGTTAAATGCACTGGCAGGAAAAAGTGGCTTCAGTTATAGGACAATGTGGCTCATCTCCCAGAGTGTGCCTGTGACTTCCTTTCTCCTCCCATCTTCTCCTTTGTTCTCTTGCCTCTTTGCCCCCAATTCCTGTCTCCTTGACATACAGATCAGTTCAGCTTTCTCCAGCCCTACATCCAAACGTAGGCACTGCATGTCATTCGTGCATCTGAACACCCTTATGGGGCAATCCTAAACAATGGGCTGCCACGGGCATGGTGGCACATGCCTGTAACCCAGCTACTTGGGAGGCTGAGGCAGGAGAATCTCTTGAACCTGGGAGGTGGAAGTTGCAGTGAGCCACGATTGAGCCATTGCACTTCAGCCTGGGCAACAAGAGTGAAACTCTGTCTCAAAAAATTAAAAAATAAAAAATAAAAACACTGGGCTGCCGACTTCAGGACGCAGTCCCCACCTCCCACTTCAGGAGGAA